ACTGGCACAGAATAATGGCAAAGACTGGCATAGTAAATGGCACAGACTGGCACAGGATAATGACACAGACTGGCGTAGTATAATGCACAGACTGGCATAGTATAATGGCAAAGACTGGCAGAGAATAATGACAAAGACTGGTATAGTATAATGGCACAGACTGGCACAGAATAATAGCACAGACCTGCATAGTATAATGGCACAGACTGTCACATAATAATGGCACAGACTGGCACAGAATAATGGCAAAGACTGGCATAGTATAATGGCACAGACTGGCACAGAATAATGGCACAGACTGGCACATAATAATGGCACAGACTGGCATAGTATAATGGCACAGACTGGCACAGAATAATGGCACAGCGTGGCACAGAATAATGGCAAAGATTTACATATTATTATGGCACAGACTGGCACAGAATAATGGCAAAGACTGGTATAGTATAATGGCACAGACTGGCACAGTATAATGGCACAGACTGGCACATAATAATGGCACAGACTGGCACACAATAATGGCAAAGATAGGCATAGTATAATGGCACAGACTGGCACAGAATAATGGCAAAGACTGGTATAGTATAATGGCACAGACTGGCATAGTATAATGGCACAGATTAGTGACACAGACTGGCACAGTATAGTGGCACAGAATAATGGGAATCGGTTAAATGAAGAGGCGAATCAGTTTAGTGAAGAGGGGAATCGGTTAAATGAAGAGGGGAATCGGTTTAGTGAAGAGCCGAATCAGTTTAGTGAAGAGGGGATAGGAGCTGGTGGAACCAAAAAATCCCCGCACATCCCTTTCACCAGTATTTATATCTAAGAAATAAGAGCCAGAAAACATTTTTTCCGGTCAGTGGAAGACATAGCTCACTGACTCGTTACCATATGATCAGAACCCAAGGTCGGCTCCCCTGCTTCGCTCGTTGGTCCATTTTGGTAAATATGAGCAAGTTAATGCTGCACACAAGGAAATATACTCTCTAAATAAATGTTGTTGTTTGTTTGCTAGTTTCTTTATTCTTTTTGTACATCTGATCACAGGGCTATGTATTATGGCATGCCATCCCTCCAGCACGGTTTGGATATCCAGGTCAGAAGTCCCCTGGGGCGACTTGATGAAATGTATGAAATGTTCTGTTCCAGTTATTAAAGAACAGCTAAGGCACTGAAAGAAAAAGTATTTCTTTAAATTGGGTTGCAGTTGTGTATATTTTTTTATATTTGTGTAATCAAATTTATTTAAGAAACTGCCTCTCATTTGTGCTATTAGTTTTAAGACTAATTAATTTATTTTGGAGATATCATTATCTTGTGCTGTAATTCTTTCGCACTCTTTAGCTTTGCCTTATGCTAACTCTTCCTGAAGATGCCAGGCCATGCCTTTACATCGATGATGATGGTATAAGGAGTGGTGGGACAGTCATGCAGGCCATTTCAAGATGGCTGTCTCCATTAAAATAAGCATTTGGAAAGGTCGCTCTGAATTCCGACTGCACCCAGTGATAAAAGTCCTTTCGTAGTCATATCTGAGGCTGCAGGACAGATACCATGTTCTTTCAGTGTGGTTCTAGGATTAGAAAACGTGGTATTAGGTTACACACAACTTTTTATCCTAAACCAATTCAGAAGCACTTCAGCCGCGATAATACCAAAAACCGGAGCTCGTTAATTAATTAATCGCTTCCAGGCTCCTATTGAGCACATTAAATGGACCGATCTCCAGTCTCGCATCTGGGGATTGTTAGTTTTATAGCAAAATCGTACAGGGCTCTTTACAAAGTGATACGTGTCAGGAATTCACATTTTATTCCAAAATTAGCCAAACTTTTAGTATAGTTTTTTGTGGTGTTTTGGTGTTAAATTTGAATTTCCCAAAATTCTCACTTTAGTAAATAATCCCATTTTTGAGCGGAAACCTGTTTTACTGGTTAAACAAACATGTGACCTATTTTTTCATTTTAAATTAACGTTACAATACGAGCTAAAAAGGACACATTTGACAGGTGTTCATTCCATTTTAGGATTTTATATCAATAATGCAATCATGCCGGAAAAAAATGTATAATAATAAAATAAAAATACCATAAAAAATGGCAGCACAGACATAGACAGGTAGTCGCCATGACATGCACACATACGTTTATTGCTCGCGCACTGTCCATGGGCCACACAGCACTCACTAGCTGGACAGATCGCGGATTGCAAACGAAAACGTTAACACTTTGTGACTTTGACTCCTGACATCCAAGAGGGCTCACATAAAGCTGAGGGAGATTTGTTTTGTTTTGTTTTTTTTACAAATTATACCAGTTTTCAACCACAATATGAAGGAGGATGCACCAAAACAAACACAATGACTATTTATTTTTTTTATTTACATATTTTTTTATTTTTGGAACTGGCAATAACCAGATACAGACAGTATACACAAAAAAAGTACATTTTCATGATATTCATCTTCGGCAATATAACAAGCTAACCACAACTGATAAAAAAAAAAATCACCTAATATTAATACGTTAAACATTTCAAACCTCAGTTGCAGAATTTCAACTCATAAGGAACAAGCGAAACCTATTTAAAGATTCTACTATCAGATAGCTAATATTTACTGTAAGGGATTTATCGAAAAACATATATATTCGTACAAATAAAGGAATGTTAATGTGTGACATGTTAACACACCAATGTGCACCTTAGCATGTTATAAGCAATACATGATTAACCATTTATTCCCCGGGCCCGCATTGCTAAGGGTACTTTGTGGACGAAGTGGTTGATTTCTGGGATGTTTCGCTGGCAAACAGGAAGTAAAACGCGTTGGCGGTGTGGGCCATCGAGTTACATACTGTATAGATATTTACAGTGTTAATAGGATTTGGTATCCAATGTCTTTCATTGAGTTTTTCTCTTAACATTTCCCGTCCCTTGAATAAACACAACTGAAAAAATACAGAAAAAAATCAGCCATTGTTTTCACTTAGAACTGTTACTAGACTGGTGTTCTTACACATACAGGGGCATTAAACATCTTGTGTAAAGTAGGGAGTTCTCTGACCTCGGTATTATAGCCACTTACTAAGCATGAAATAAAAGGTACGGTGAGATAAAACATAAATACTGGACATTATGCAATTATGTATAACAGAGCTCCATAGTAATAATACTCCCAGTAATGTGTCTGGGTGTATAACAGAGCTCCACAGCAATAATACTCCCAGTAATGTGTCTGAGTGTATAACAGAGCTCCATAGTAATAATACTAGCAGTAATGTGTCTGGGTGTATAACAGAGCTCCACAGCAATAATACTCCCAGTAATGTGTCTGAGTGTATAACAGAGCTCCACAGCAATAATACTCCCAGTGATGTGTCTGAGTGTATAACAGAGCTCCACAGTAATAATACTCCCAGTAATGTGTCTGAGTGTATAACAGAGCTCCACAGTAATAATACTCCCAGTAATGTGTCTGAGTGTATAACAGAGCTCCACAGCAATAATACTCCCAGTAATGTGTCTGAGTGTATAACAGAGCTCCACAGCAATAATACTCCCAGTAATGTGTCTGAGTGTATAACAGAGCTCCACAGCAATAATACTCCCAGTAATGTGTCTGAGTGTATAACAGAGCTCCACAGCAATAATACTCCCAGTAATGTGTCTGAGTGTATAACAGAGCTCCACAGCAATAATACTCCCAGTAATGTGTCTTAGTGTATACAGAGCTCCACAGCAATAATACTCCCAGTAATGTGTCTGAGTGTATAACAGAGCTCCACAGCAATAATACTCCCAGTAATGTGTCTGAGTGTATAACAGAGCTCCACAGCAATAATACTCCCAGTAATGTGTCTGAGTGTATAACAGAGCTCCACAGCAATAATACTCCCAGTAATGTGTCTGAGTACATAATAGAGCTCCACAGCAATAATACTCCCAGTAATGTGTCTGCGTGTATAACAGAGCTCCACAGCAATAATACTCCCAGTAATCTGTCTGAGTGTATAACAGAGCTCCACAGCAGTAATACTCCCAGTAATGTGTCTTAGTGTATCACAGAGCTCCACAGCAATTATATTCCCAGTAATGTGTCTGATTGTATCACAGAGCTTCACAGCAATAATACTCCCAGTAATTTGTCTGAGTGTATAACAGAACTCCACAACAACAATACTCCCAGTAATGTGTCTGAGTGTATAACAGAGCTCCACAGCAATAATACTCCCAGTAATGTGTCTGAGTGTATAACAGAGCTCCACAGCAATAATACTCCCAGTAATGTGTCTGAGTGTATAACAGTCCAAGTACTCCCAGTAATGTGTCTGAGTGTATAACAGAGCTCCACAGCAATAATACTCCCAGTAATGTGTCTGAGTGTATAACAGAGCTCCACTGCAATAATACTCCCAGTAATGTGTCTGAGTGTATAACAGAGCTCCACAGCAACAATACTCCCAGTAATGTGTCTTTAAACTACAATAAATGTGTTTAGAAATTGGTCTGTGTAAATAAGGTACATTGTCCTTCTTTTAAATTACATTTTAGTTTGTACATTTTTATTAGTAAGTCACATAACATTTTTTAGACCAGTCTGCCCCTGACCACACCCCCATTTCCACCCAAAATGAATGTATTAAAGTGTCCCTCTTTGTCCATGTGAAATTTTGGGATATATGCATTAGAAGTAATTAAACCATTTGAATAATATACACCCCTCACATTTCTGTAAATATTTTATTATATCTTTTCATGTGACAACACTGAAGAAATGACACTCTGTTACAATGTAAAGTAGTAAGTGTACAGCCTGTATAACAGTGTAAATCTGCTGTCCCCTCAAAATAACTCAAAACACAGCCATTAATGTCTAAACCGTTGGCAACAAAAGTGAGTACACCCCTAAGTGGAAATGTCCAAATTGGGCCCAATTAGCCCTTATCCCCCCCCCGTGTCATGTGACTCGTTAGTGTTAAAAGGTCCCAGGTGTAAATGGGGAGCAGGTGTGTTAAATTTGGCGTTATCGCTCTCACTCTCTCATACTGGACACTGGAAGTTCAACATGGCACCTCATGGCAAAGAACTCTCTGAGGATCTGAAAAAAGAATTGTTGCTGTATATAAAGATGGCCTGGGCTATAAGGAGATTGCCAAGACCGTGAAACGAAGTACAAAGACAAGTGTGTCTTGCCTACAGTCAAGCATGGTGGTGGGAGTGTCATGGTCTGGGCCTGCATGGGTGCTACCGGCACTGGGGAGCTTCACTTTATTTAGGGAACCATGAATGCCAACATGTTCTGTGACATACTGAAGCAGGGCATGATCCCCTCTCTTCGGAGACTGGGCCGCAGGGCAGTATTGCAACATGATAATGACCCCAAACACACATCCAAGACGACCACTGCCTTGCTAAAGAAGCTGAAGGTAAAGGTGATGGACTGGCCAAGCAGATCTCCAGACCTAAACCCTATTGGGCATCTGTGGGGCATCCTCAAACGGAAGGTGGGGGAGCGCAAGGTCTCTAACATCCATCAGCTCTGTGATGTCGTCATGGAGGAGTGGAAGAGGACTCCAGTGGCAACCTGTGATGCTCTGGTGAACTCCATGCCCATGAGGGTTAAGGCAGTGCTGGAAAATAATGGGGGCCACACAAAATTTGACACTTTAAGCCCAATTTGGACATTTCCACTTAGGGGTGTACTCACTTTTGTTGCCAACGGTTTAGACATTAATGGCTGTGTGTGGAGTTATTTTGAGGGGACAGTAAATTTACACTGTTATACTGGCTGTATACTTACTACTTTACATTGTAGCATTTCTTCAGTGTTGTCACATGAAAAGGTATAATAAAATATTTACATAAATGTGAGGGGTGTACTCACTTTTGGGAGATACTGTGTGACTGTGTATATATACTGTAGTGTTTCAGAAGTTAATTCCTAAGACCATCCATGAACCCGGTGACCCAATGTTTATCTATTAGAAGTTTCTGATTAGAAACACGCCATCGCCATCTGTAATTATAAATTCACTGGCCGGGATCGGAGCTGCAGTGAGGAGATTCTCTGAGCGATGGAATAACAGTGAGTTTATCTCACATTAACCCTTTCAATGCAGAATTTAGCAGAAGTTAATAAATCTAACCATAAGAATAATCCCTCCAATTAATATATCTGGAATGTATTTTCAGTCAGAGTGTTCCGTTGACACCATGTAACTATGAAACCTAGTTGTGGTAGCCTGGTAACCAATCCCACAGTGAGGGCTCACTGCTATCAATTCCTGAAAACTGCTGATGGTGAATGACATGCAGAAAGCATAGACTTCTAAACCAGCATCGTTTGACTAATACAGACAGACAGACAGACACGTAGATAGACAGACGGACCATCTCTCCTCAACATTCAAATCGCTTGAGCGCTTTGTAAAAGCTTGAAATGGTTGGTGTATCACAGAGCTCCACAGAAATGAAACTCACAGAAACGTGCTGTGCGCATGTATCACAGAGCTCTACAGAAATGAAACTCACAGAAACATGCTGTGCGCATGTATCACAGAGCTCCACAGCTAGAAAACTAACAGTAACGTGCTGTGCGCATGTATCACAGAGCTCCACAGAAATGAAACTCACAGAAACGTGCTGTGCACATGTATCACAGAGCTCCACAGCTAGAAAACTAACAGAAACGTGCTGTGCGCATGTATCACAGAGCTCCACAGCTAGAAAACTAACAGAAACGTGCTGTGCGCATGTATCACAGAGCTCCACAGCAAGAAAACCCACAGCAATTTGCAGTATGTATGAGTGTATCACAGAGCTCCACAGAAATGAGACTCACAGTAATGTGCTGTGTGCATGTATCACAGAGCACCACAGCAAGAAAACTCACAGCAATTTGCAGTATGTATGAGTGTATCACAGAGCTCCACAGAAATGAAACTCACAGTAATATGAATGTAAACTGTAGTCATTGTATGAGTTGGTGTAACTAAAACACCTGCTTGTTGCTATAAATACCTTACAGGGGCAAATACTGTGTCCCCCTAATAACAGGGCAGGGGGCGTCGCACATAATGACCTGAAGGAACAATGTGAGCCTGGCCAGTCTCACAGAAAGCCCCCTATGTAAAGGACCATGAGAAAGCGCTTCACTCTCTGCATGGTCCTCGTGCCCACTGCACAGCGCAGTGCTACCCATGGGCAGTACTGAGCAAACTCGGGATGGCAGGAGTGTGCCCCAAATTCAGGACTATCTTGCAGGAACCAGGACAGCTGGGAGGCATGATTTAGTGTCAGGAGTAAAACGGGGTAAGTAGTTTGACAACTTACCTGGGGTCCATCAGGCACCCGTCACAACCGCCTATGAATTTGGAAGTTCCCACAAGGAGCCACTTTGGTTCCATTAAACTAAGCCCTGACTCACCGGACTCAGCTCAGACAGAGAGCTTCGAGCTGCACACGAGGAGGCTCACAACGCTTGGCAAACAGCAGCCGAAGGTTTGGCTACTTACCGTTGGAAAACGCCGTAACCGCTGGGTGCTTGGATTGTTCCTTTAACAAGGGAAATGTTCTGGACGTTTTAAATGAAGGGAGGTATTCTATAAAATAGTTAGATTATAATAATATAATTAATATATATTTTAATTTATTCTGTATAAAATATCAAACATCTTGTGAAGTAGATTTTCCATTAATACAAGCAGTAAATTATATAAATATTTACAAGATTTACACCACGTGATAATATTTATTATACGGCACCAACAAGTTCTGCAGCGCAGTACAAAACATTCATAATACAAAGAAGTTGTCATTTATTGAATTGTATACAAAATAAATGTAGTTGCTATTGGCTATAACTTCCATGGTTCACTCCCAGAACATTGAGATCCCCTGCCACACACAAAACATGTACAAAATGTTTAGTACATTCTAGCTGAGAGATAAGTGATTTTGAAATGCGTTCATAAGTGAGCAGCGTCATTAAAGCACAGTTTTAAGCATTCCCACTCAGTTGTGGGGGTGTCCCGGATTAAAGGCTATTGATTTGAAATGTTGTTGACTGCAAGTCCCAGTTTTCTCAGCCAGACAATGTCAGACTAAGCATGATGGGATTTACCACCACAGCAAAGAAGGGGTACACCACTGTACCCCCACATCCTAAGGTCACCAGGTTACAGATTGGGGTACACTGCTCAGGGAATCGTAGCATGATAGTGACATTTAATGACATTTAAAGGCAGCGCTTCTACTAAAATGTTATTCTACTCAGAAGCAGGGAGAGAGGAACGTGGATGCAAAGGAAAGGTAACTGGGAGGTGTTAACAGATTTCGTATTAAGGGAAATTTTAAATTTAAAGAATAAAGTAACCCCTGACTCTCAGATTGTGATCTCCCCATTGTCACACTCCCTGCTCACGGTCTGCTTGTGACACCAGGCAGGTGACGCACACCAGGTGACACAGACTGTGACAGACGGGTCCAGATTAATTCTATGTTCTGTTACCATAACAGCCTTTATCAGAGAGTGTACACAAACATCAGTCCTCCATGGACAGGCTCTTAATATCATTCTCTTCATCTACAGACACAATATCTGGCCTTTAGGCAGACCAGGGGTCACCGCATGAGGGCAATGGCCACAATAAGCCACTACGTAGGTGGGTCTATAGCCTGTCTGTGAGTGCTGGGAGTTGTGCTCCATAGGAGATTCAGTGCCAAAGAATGCCTGCTCCTCAGGATCAGTACAGCTTCAGTAACATCTAACTATGGGGCACTGGGTAAAGATTGGGGACACCTTGGCTGCATTATATTGTACTGGCAGATAGTCCACATTGCCATGTATCAATTAACACTTAAATATTGTAGCAGAGCGCTAGTCCTGGCAGGGACTTTTCTCAGCTGAATCCACCAGAGTATAATCAGAAACAAGAAAAAAATATCCCACCTCCTCCCCAGCAACTGGACGCCACACAGTTCTTGGAGTACAACTGGTTTTATATAACAAGGGTTATTATATAACATTAGTGATGTCCCGAACGGTTCGCCGAACGGTTTTTTACCATTATGTTATGTTCACATTTGTTTGTTTTATATAATTATATCCTTAATTGTACAAATGAAATAGAAACATAACCTGTCCAGTCCTATGATATATTCCCTCTCTGTTAGCTCATTCTGGTTCAAAAGCCTAAATGTCATTTAACATATTTTCATTTTTTACAAACTCCTCTTCTTCAAATGACCAATATCGAGTTTACACTTATTTACAGTGCCATCCTTGGCCTTCTTCCCAGCTGGTCTGCAACCCAAATGTTCCCAAATACTGACAAGGTACCTGGTCTACACCCCGTTCGCCCCAAATGTTCCCAAATACTGACAAGGTACCTGGTCTACACCCTGTTCTCCCCAAATGTTCCCAAATACTGACAAGGTACCTGGTCTACACCCCGTTCGCCCCAAATGTTCCCTAATACTGACAAGGTACCTGGTCTACACCCCGTTCTCCCCAAATGTTCCCAAATACTGACAAGGTACCTGGTCTACACCCCGTTCGCCCCAAATGTTCCCTAATACTGACAAGGTACCTGGTCTACACCCCGTTCTCCCCAAATGTTCCCAAATACTGACAAGGTACCTGGTCTACACCCCGTTCTCCCCAAATGTTCCCAAATACTGACAAGGTACCTGGTCTACACCCCGTTCTCTCCAAATGTTCCCAAATACTGACAAGGTACCTGGTCTACATCCCGTTCTCTCCAAATGTTCCCAAATACTGACAAGGTACCTGGTCTACACCCCGTTCTCCCCAAATGTTCCCTAACACTGACAAGGTATCATTAGCCTGATGTGTCAGACGTTCCATTTGGCCGGTATGTTGTATCATATCTGTCGAAGTTTTTTTAGTTCCAAATTTCCAATCTCCGCTGAGATACCGTGTGGGGCGAGGAGGGAGCAAAATAGTCCCCAATTAATCACATGTATGACAACCAGTTTATCACGGAGTTTTAATATTTATATTAGAAAAAAATGATCTGTGACAGAGGCACATCAAGCAACACGAAACATGGACAAATTCACTTCTACATTTATTGCTGTGGATTAAACGTGGAAAACGGTGACTGCTAACATGTATCGATGATAGCACGGAGGTATTATGGTCTGGCGGCTCCGTAAAGTGTAGCTGATTGCGTCACGACGACCACTAGATATTTTGATAGTTTTGTAACTTCTGCCACTCCCTGCCTCTCCACGGGGCCACGAGTGAATAACACTGGTTAAGTTTACACAATACGACACACCTTGTACTAACAGTGCAGGGGAGAAAACAAAGGTGTTGTAATATGTCAGGCTCCAGACCTAATAATA